AAAGTTGCCATGGTTGAGAAACACTGCTCTACAATGTGCCAGAAAGCAAATTCAACCATCCATGGCAGGATGTGGTCCAGCCTCGTGTTAAACCCTCCCACCTCCACAGAGCCCACAAGCTCCTTAGGGAGACTGGGCCATTATTGTACAGTAGAGATTTTACTATCCTGAAGTTCTTTATATTTAAGCAAAATCTAGTTATTTTCTCCCCTGATTTGCTTGCGCGGCTATAAGCGCGGCCCTGAAAAGACGTCGTTGGGCCAAGAGTAGAGGCGAGGCGAGGCGAGGCCACAACAGAGCACAGCCCCTTCCTCTCCAGGAGGAAACGTGGAGAAGGTGGGAAGGCTGGAAACCAACAGGAAAAGCCTGTCGCCATCCGTCAGAGCAAGGAGCAAGCCAAGTGCCCTCTTGCCGCAAGGGGAGAAGACAGAAGTAAGAAGAATGGAGAAGGTACGGGAGCATTTTCTGGGGGGCAGTGGGGGGGGAGACCTGACGGAAAATGTCCGATCCAGTTTGAGGTTTTCTGAGCCCAAAGCAGAGGTGAAGCGCTCCTTTCTTGCAGGAAATGCTGTACTTCAAGCTCTTGCTTTGTGGGGCAGAGGGGGTGGACTAGTTGATCTCTGAGGACCCTTTGCCATAGACCAGACCGGTGGCGATCAGGGGACCTTCCTGCTGAGCAGACCTGCCGCTGGTTGCACCGTCCAACGCTCCCAGCTTTGGGGGACAGGCGCCTTGCCCGATTAAGCTGCCCCCCATTTGCTTACGAGGAAGCCGCCCTGCTTGCAAGGGGTCACCGAGGGCCGCGCCTGGAGTCTCGGCCCCCTTCTCAGGAACGATGCGCCTCGGTCCTGAAGCCAGGAGGCGGAGGCCGCGCTGAAGGGACAAATTGGCCATTGTTCCCGGCGAAAACACAGGAAGGCCTCCTGCGCATTTCCCTTCCTTTGCTTAATTGGGAAAAGCGACTCGCTTCCTGCCACATTCCAAGGGGGGTCTGTGGGCCCTCCCCGCGGCAGTGCAAGGGGCAGCCCTCTGGCCGAGGCGGGGGCTGAGCGGGGGCGCCTGGGGCCCTTCAGCCTCCCTTTGGGGGCCTTTCCGAGCAAATGCGACCACTTGCAGATGTGCAAAGTTGTGAGTGAGAGGGAATGCTGGAGCAGGTGGGCGGGTAAGAGTGGTGTTTCTCAACCTTGGCAACTTGAAGATGTCTGGACTTCAGCTCCCAGAATTCCCCAGCCAGCATGGCTGGCTGGGGGATTCTGGGAGTTGG